ACCCCCCCCCCCCCCCCCCCCCCTCCTGGTCCAGCCATCACCCACACCAGCCTCACCTGACTCCTGCAGCACCTTCTACGTCGTGGCATTATCAAAAACAACTCTAGTATGTATTCTTATTAAAGTGCTGATGTTATAACATGATATTGTATGCTGGGACTTCACAACTCCTTTAAACAAGCTTGGACCACCTCTAGCTTACAGATAAGAACGGACTCTTGCTTTCATAAATAATTTTGTTTATTTTATTACTAAGCAATTTATGTTTTGCTTAGATAAAAAATGGTAAAGGATTTTATTTTGATTCCTGTCCACTTGCATGTAAAAAAAAAACAACTTAAAAAATGGTATTAACAAACAAGGGTTTGAAAATGGCGTGACATTAACATGTCATTATTATGGCATGCTATTTGTAAGCCCTGCTGGTACAAGCAACATAAAGTTCACAGTAACTATTAACGAATGAATACAGGCCCACTGGCTGGGCTATACAGTATGAAAGCAGAGGAGATGATGGCATAGCCCGGGCACTGTGCCCTCATACTCCTCCTCTTCTTCCCTAAGTGCTGACACAGAATACATAGCCCCTAATAGCAAGCAGCATGGGAGCACAGCTGCTCATGGCTTAGTTGACACTCACAGATCTTTGCCAACAAACATTCACAGGCCAATTACATTAATTAACAAGGGAAGGGAAAGGGGAGTGAAGATCGGGGCAGGTTTGGAGATAATGTGCAATGAATGAGGACAACCAAGAAAAAGCGTTCTGTATGAGTCAGGTTCATGCTGTGCGATGTGGCACCAGCAGACATTAAGTACACCGCATCCAAGAAGAAAAATACGTTTATTCAATAAAACAGTGAAAAGATCAAAAAACGAAATGCATAGCAATCAGTAAAAATCGAACCCTGTGTTGGCTTCAGTGAAGTAAATGCTGACTGTTTGTTATCAGTTACCGCACCTTTCTTAATGCACTGTTTAGCAAATAGCATAAAGGAGTGGGGCCAAGCATGACTTTTAGGTAAAAAGTCAAGTATTGCGTATAACTTTAACAACCTTTACCTCTGTATCTGATTTTTATGAGGTTTTTACTGAAGCCAGACTGCTTATGCAGTTTAAAATGTTCACAATTGTGACAGGTTTACTTTTGCAACATTGTCCTTTAATGAATTCCCTCCACCCCCCCGAGTGCTGACCACTGGGACAAATATTTCCTTCCTTATCCCACATCCAGTGCTGCACAGCTTTTTCTGCAAAGGCATCCCTTTTGGGTTTTCCTCTCAGTGCACATGTGCGCCACGGCCCTATTCATTTGTATGGGTAACAGGTACTCTGCTGAAGGACACCATGAGCAGGGCTTACCCATAGATATGAATACGCTTGTGGAGGAAGGCCTGGCAGGGGCAGTTTTACAGGAAAACCTGTGATGCACCGGGAGGTGGAAGAGGAAAAAAGTACTTGTCCAAGTGGGCAGCACTTACAGAGGGCGGGAATTAAAGGCTTGTTCGTGACCAGTATTTTTGTGCACCCAGTCAACGCCAGTCACTGCAAGGACACATAAGGGTATATTCACTAAGTTGCCGTAGACAGCCGAGTGAATGACCGACCTGAAGCACCATAGACACCATAGACATCACAGTCTCTTCTCTTGCCTCCTCCGTTGTAGTCTTCGGCCCTGCCTCTTCCATCTCCGCCCTTTCTCCGTCCCAGTCTCCTCCTGCTCCCCCTCCCTCAACTTGCCGCCGTCCCCGTTGACATTAGGCAGCCAGGCTGCCGGTTTCTGTGCAGCCCGGCTGCCTAAATGTTTTGGGGGGCGGCATTTTGCCGCTCACCTGGAATCTGCCACCCGAGGCAAGCGCCTTGTTTGCCTCGCAGGAGATATGCCCCTGATCAGGTCCCCACTAGTGATTGACAGCAGCAGAGGGCAGGTACAATAGCTAGTTTGCTATTGGCTATTGCAAATTGAAATAGCCAATAGGAATCTAGCAATGCATTCCTATGGTGAAAATGTATTTATTTTTCTATTCTGACACGGCACTGACTGAGCCGCTCAACCAAGTTTGGGAGCTGTACTGGCTATAGTGAATCGCCTGTGCAGCAGCCCTTCGGTTCTACTGAAGCGAAGGGGTCCTGGGGCCGAAGCTAGCTGAAGGATCGGCCGAAGCTACGGCTAGATCCTTCGGCTGCTTTGTGAATAGACCCCATAGCAAACAAATGTTTTCCATGTGCCCTGTTCAAACCCTAACTCTGCCTCCAGGTGGGTTTGCGGTGCTAAAAAATGTAGACATGCACATTTGAACAAAAGATCGTTTTAGCATGCAAGTTGGTGTGAATAAGCCCTAAAGGACAATTGTAAAAAGATACAGTAGTCAACTAAGTGATGAGAGTTCACCTTTCATACTGCAAGTGGTATTTCTAAGAGTTCACTGGACACATTCCCATATTTATTTTAATACATTATGCAACTGGCCAAATCTGATCACAGGCAAAGCATATGTGAAACCTCCTTTAGATTTACCAGCAGCTGTGTACAGTGTAGGCCTACCTGATTGTATACCAAGTTATTGGATTGTTTAGGTTGGCTCTTATATGACATAGGTGTTGGTAGATCTCAAGAAGATTACAACGAGAATGTGCAATCACATTTCAATGTTTATGGCTGGCTTTGGGCTGGCTATCTGTAATAGAGGAATACATGGATAACACAAGATCCCAGTTAAACAGGAT